ACCCATGTTTTCATGCATGTCAGCAAGCTGCTCTTCTTCACTGCTCATTTCCCATGATGTGTTTGTAGCACAGTTTGTGAAACCATCCAACAAAATGAAGGATATCTGATTCCCCAGTGTTTTTTCACATAGAGCCACATTGAACATTTCTGTGCGGATTTCCTTATGAACACAAGTTTTTCCCTTCTTTGGGATAGAAATGCCCACTAGTAGAAATGCTGGGCCACATTTGGCGTTTTGTTTTGTTTTGTATTTATGTGTGTGCGTGTATATGCATGCTGCTGGATGTTGAGTCGAGAGCCTTTGTTCTGAGCTACATCCCCGGCCCTTTTTTTGTTAGTACATGCAGTGATTTTATTGAAAGTTATAGTGATTATCACCATTTCATTCCCAGTGTTTTTACTGTCTTATTTTTGTCACATGCTAAAGTTTTTTTTAGTTTAGTTTATTAATACATGTGTATAATGCATAATGTTTACATTCCTTGAGTGGAGTTGGCACAGGTACGTACGAATTCCTCTTTCATCTCTCTCTCCTTCTCCCTGTCCCTTCCCTCCCTGTCCCTCCATCTGTCAATCCTCTTTCCCTTTGAGAAATGTCTACCTCCCTATTTCCAATCAGCTACCTATTATTTTGCTCTTTATTTTTACCCTGGTTTTCTCATATAAGAGACACCATGTGATATTTAAGCGTATGTGTCTGATTTATTTCACTTAGCATTATGGTCTCACGGAGCATCCATTTCCCTAGAAAGGACTCAAGTTTATCCTTCTTTGTGGCAAAATAATACTCCAGTATGTGTAAATACCACATTTTCTTTATCCATCCATCTGTTGATGGGCATAAAGGCTGCTTCCAAGATTTAGCTGTTATGAATTGTGCTGCTATAAACATGGATAAGCATGGATCATTCTAATATGATCCTTTTAATTCTTTCAAGAAGATATCTAGAAGGGGAATGGCTGGACTGAATGGAATTTGGAGGTTTAGTTTTTTGAGGAGTCTCCATACGATTTCCATGGTGGTTGTCCTTACTAGTGTACTTTCCCACGATCTCTGTTGAAAGTTTCCTTTTTCCTCACAGCCTCTCTAGTGTGTTATTTGATTTCTTGATGATTGTCATTTATTCTTTGTAGTGTAAGATGGTATCTTGATTTCTCTAATAGCCAGTGATGTTGAATATTTCTTCCTGTGTTTATTGGCCATTTGTACTACTTCTGTGAAGTGTCTGTTCATTTGCCCATTTTTTTTAAAAAAATTGAGTCTTTTAGGACCTATTTCTTGAGTTTTCTATATATTTTAGATATGAGTCCTCTGAGGAATTGCTGGCAAATTTTTTTCCCACACTGTACATTATTTTTTCATACTGTTGGTTGTTTATTTTGTTGTTCAGAAGCTTTTTAATTTGCTATGATGCCATTTGTTGATTCTTAGAACAAGTTCCTGTGCAACTGGCATTCTGTTCAGAAACACTTTGCCTATACTTGTGGCTTCAAGAAGTTTACCTATTTTGTCTTTCAAGATGTTAAATATATCTGGTTTAACATTTAGATCCATAGCTCCAGAGTCAGTCTCCTGCATATGGATGCATGCTAAAGTTTTATTGGTTTCATTGTCTTTTTTTCAAAGAAAAAGATATGTATTTCACAGATATTCTCTATTGTTTCCGTTTTCAATTTTATTAATTTGTTTGCATCTTTATTATTTACTTCCTTCTGCCTCTATTGGGTCTATTTTGTTCTTTTTCCAGTCTTGACGTATGATCTAAGGTGGTTGATCTGAAGCTTTTTCCTCATTTGTAATGTAATTTTTACTACAGACTTCTCTTTCCATACTGCTTAAGCTTCATTCCATCATTTGTGTTCATTTTCATTATTCATTAAGCTTTCCTTTTGAGATTATTTAATCCATGATTATTTAGAAATGTGTTAATTTCCAGGTATTCAAAGATTTTTCCTGCTCTCTTTTTGTTACTGATTTTTGATTTCACTACTATCAGAGAACTTGGTATGAATTCTTTTTGTTTTGTTGAAGGTTATTTTTTTTCTAAATGGCCCAGGGTGGTCAGTCTTGTGAACATTCTCAGGATGCTTGAAAGCTGTGTATCCTATTGGGTATTATTGTAGTCATGCCGTTGTCTGGTAAGTGATCTATATATGTAATTAACTAGGTCTTGTTTGTATTTTATAGATTTGTGAATTCTTATTCATTGTATCTTGAAGTTCTGTCAGCTGTTGAGAGGGGAGTTTTGATAACCTCAACTGTAACTGTGCTTTGCATTTTTAAAATTTCAGTCCTGTTATCTTTTTTCTCTGTTTTGAAGTTCTGCTGTTTAGTGTGTAACATTTAGGACTGTGATGTCTTCCACCAGGATGAGAATCCTGATATACTGTTTTGTATTACATTACATAAGTGTGTTATATGTTCTAATGATAAAAGAAATTTTATTCCATTATTCCTTTTACCATTATGTAATGTCTCTTCTGTGTTACATTTCATAGTGATAAAAGGAATTTCTATTCCATTATGCCTTTCAGCATTATGTAATATCTTAGTAATTTTCTTTGAAGCCTACTTTATCAGATACTAAAATCACCATTTTCAAAAATTAATGCTTGGTACAGTATGTTTTCATCCTTTTGCTTTCAAAGTATTGATGCCTACAATTTTAAGAGTGTCTACTAAGCCACATACAGTCAAACATTATTTTTGGTCCATCTGCCCATCTCTGTCTTTTGATTGATGTATTTATATTATTTAAATTTAAGGTAATTATTAATTTGTTAGCTAATTTTGCCACTTTATTGTATGGTTCTTTGATGTTTTCCTGTTTCTTGTTCCTTTTTGTCCTTTTGCCTTCCTGAGAGTATTCTGGATGTTAAAATGCATTTTAAGGTATCTTTTAAAAAGTGTCCAGTTGCCCACCAGGTGGATGAGGAATCACAGGGCTGAGGTACAGAGAGGACAACCATCCTAGGAGTCTAGCACTCAGGATGGTTTCTGTCCTGTGGCACTGGCCCTTCTGGAAGAAACCCATGAGTCGTGCACAGCCAACGGTCAGAAGTGTAGAACTGAGCCGGCTAAAAGCAGAGGCCTTATGTAGCAAACTCCTGCTTGGGGTGGAACCTTACAGGTGACTTCCTGGAGTGAACCAGTGGCAAACCAATCTTGACCCAGTTTGACTTGATACAAACTGAATGAGGAAAGCTGGGTCTTGTTTTCAGCCCTGGCATGAGTGCCATGCTGGTTACCCCACAGCTGTACAAGTGCGTTATTCCCCCAAGTGGTTGAAAGATCACTTCGATCTTACCTGGCTCTGATTATTAAATTTTTCCCCATTAGTTAATGCATAGCTGAAAAAAAAATGGAGAACTAGAAGAACTACGTCTTCCAGTAGATTTTCTAGACAGATGAGTTTTTTATTTGTTTTTTGTAAGAATCCAGGACTAATAATAGGATGCTAGCTTTATAGAGTCAGACAACATTTGAAAAACAATTTAAATTTGAATGGCAGATGGCAGAAGAAGAAATTGAGAAACAATTGAATTTGGAAAATCCTACTAATGAATTGTTCAGGATGACTAAAGGAGGAGGATATTGAGCAAAATTGGGAAGGGGAAAAGAGGGAGAGCTGTTCCTTTGGCTTTTAAATTTCTTATTTACAAGTAGCAAGATCAGCTGGTCTAAATTTTATTGCCACGAGCTAATTTGTGTTCACTGCAAACAAAGCCTGACCATGAACACATGCAAGCCAAACAGTGAGCAAGCTATCAAAGGGTTGTGAATGTAAGATTTTCCCAGAAACCTTTTAACAGTTTATTTTCCTACGGTCCTCTCCCGCTCGCTCGGAAGGTACATAAAACAAGACATTCAAGAGTCAAGTCTCCTTTCAGAATGTTAACGCTATCATTGTTACAGAGTGCACGTTCTTACTAAATTAATAGCAAGTTCTGCAGTGAACTTAATGTGACAATTTAAATGTTCAGACAGCATTTGGATGGTAATGCTTTAAAAGGGGCTAACTTTGTCCTCAAGTCACTACAGTAACGCTTCACTAATGTGAGTTCTCAGCACAAAGCTCACACATTCTCTGAAGTCTAATCAGAGTCCAGACTTTGCTTACCACATAACTTTCCCACCTTTAAAAATCTATAAGCCATTTCCAGTTACTCAATTTTATTAGGTTTTTAATAAAATAGGTGCAAAGCTCCATTGGTATCAGTTAAAAATAACTCACCTAAATGAATTGAATGGTAAAATAAATGAAAAAATAACTCACCTAATTTTAGGCAGCATTTAAATTCAGTTATATTGTTAACTATGTCACTTTTGCTTTTCACATCGAATTCTTCCTTTTTCCTGAAAGAGGCCATTGTGTCTATTAGCGAACAGGTACATGAATATGCAGGAAGACTGAGGTATTGCTTACGGACCATGCATCTGTTTCACCACCACCCCACTCCGCCCCAAGGAAATGTTTTCTTACCACGGCTTCCTCTTCCTCTTAAGAAACCACATGCAGCCCTCTGCTCCTTCCCAGCCACGTGCCTAGAGCTCTAAAACCCAGCTTTATGTTGTTAGGTTTACTGGAGAACCTGCGATGATGAGGCAGGTGGAAACTACCACCCAAGAGACAGAAGTCTTGGTGGAAGTGGCTTCGTCTTTGATTTCAATAAGCACCTGCCTGGTGCAGATTCAAATATTTCTTGAAACAGGGCTCAATGATCTCAGCTGCTGTTACCACTAAGAGTTATGTCATGAATTTTTTTCATTGGGAACCCTCTGCTGCTGTGCGGGGTACAGTGTGACATCTCAGATGAGGTCCTGCCTAATTGTTTTTCCAGATTCTACGAAGCAGTTTGCAAGAGCGGAGTGGCTGTATTTTACCTGAAAGGTTTGGGTTCTTGTACAATTCTGGATCTGCAGAGGTCCCAATCTGAAAGATGTTTGTGTTCTCTTATCACATACTCCCAAAAAAACAAAATGAAACCCAAACACCATTTTACCTCATATGATTTTTAATGTGATTAACAGAGATTTAATTTCCAAAGAAGCAAATAATTACAGACAGTAGAAAACACTGTGGAGATGGTGTCTGACCTCCGCTCCTCAGGCCACTGCTGGGCTACATGGAAAAGAAACCTCTGATCATGGAGTCTTCCCTATTATAAAAATCAGAGTACATGACTAAGCAGGAACAGCAATAACTCATTGGATTCTATCAGAGAAATAATGTTTATGGTGAGGCTGTCAGTATGAAAGTCTCTTTGGAGAAAAAAACGTAAATGAAGTCCTATATCCTTTGGAAAGAACTATGACAGACACCCACAGATGCGGCCTGCTGCTGGGAATGTGTCCCTCCAAACCCAGGGCACAAAGTTGATCTCATTGATTTCAACAGGTTCCTTTCTTCTTGTTCTACCAAATTAAGGAGAGTCCTACATTCTTCAGGAATGATTAGAAATTCCATGAAATACAAGTATTCTGCAACATGGGTGCAAGAAATTGTTCACCCGTTATAAAACAGAACTATTTGTAAAGTGCATTTCAAAGAACTCACCCAAGAGTAAAGTGCAATAAGGTACTTTAGTGCAAAGTCTTTGAATATGTATGTCATGTGCTAAGGTCACATAAAAACAGGACTTGTCTATCCCTAACGGAGAGAGAATATGGGGAAAATACTCTCATGTTTTTAATGCTCTGCAGGGACAAGTGTTTTGGTGTGTGTGCATGTGTGTGCTATGTATTAACCACTTGGTGGCCTCTGCAGATACCTGAAACTGGTTTTTAGAATTTGAAACTGAAACATTGACATAATTGTGCAATCTCCAATATGCAATTCCATTCTCAAGAGAAGCATTAAGCTTGTAGTAATGGTTGAGTAATTTCAGCCTGCATATCTTGTAAGGCAGGTAGTTGACTGTGAATTAAATGTTTAATGAAAATGACAAAAAATACAATCACTATAATGCAACCAAGAGAGACCCCAAGGAAGTAAGGGTAAGACTCCTCTTGCCCAAGCTCTCCTAGGTGGTCACCCCCCAGGAGGGTCGTGCTCTGTGTGTAAGCAATTGCCTTTGGAACTGCAGAACTGAGCAGGTCTTGGACATTGCTGAGGGATCCATTGTGTGGCAGGGCGGTGATATTGAGGAGATGGCACAGCAGGGGGTACAGATCTGTGGAGTTCATGGCTTCTTTTGTGAAATTCTTTCGGAAGGCAGGACCGTGGGCTAAAAATATTGGATGCATTTCTGCTAATGCATTATCATAACCATGGTTGCCTACTGTGAAGAGAAAATGCATAAGTTAGCCACTTAGAGGGCGTTGTAACAGAAATTAATTGTTGTATGGGGAAGTTCTGAATTTCAGTGCAAATTTGATCTTAAATTGATTTTGAAATAAAATAATCTTTTACAGTCTCTGGTCTTGTCACCCCATAGTTCAGGAAACAAAAGGTCAAAGGATCACACATCTTTCCCACAGAGCAGCTCTTCCCCAAAGAAACAGGAAGGGCAGAGAGAGCAAAGCTGAGCCATGTCGGGGGACATGAGAGTGAATTATTTTGTTCTCATTTTTGTTTTGTTCAGCTTGGTGGCTGGCACACTAATATTCAGCCAGTACTTACTGGATAGCTACTGTGTCCAGTGACTTTTCTAAAGATAATGGCGCTCTTAATCATGAAAATAATAAACTCATAATTATTGCTAAGAAAGGTAAAAACACAATAGATAAAGAAAAAAGACATCAGCAAAGTCAGACCTTTAGTGATATCTATAGTCTGCCACTAAAAAGTAAAGGTCAGGACTTGTAGGTAGAATGGAAAAATCACTTTTGGGGTGACTCTGATCAGGGTCCAGCTTAGCACTGTGTGCTTGAGGGTGGCTGCTTAAGAAAGCCTTCCAGCATCTTCTGAAGTTGGTTTAAGACAGAAAATCAAGGGATGGAAATTGTCCAATAGATGCTGCCTTTTGCAAGTATGGACAGCAACTAGGAAAACAAACACCTTTATTTCAAAGGTGTTGAGGGAAATACAAGTGCGTCAACTCTAATGCTTATGCCTGATGTGTTGAAGTATGACACGGAACACAAATACAGAAAATGAAAATCCTAAGCCGGTATCTGGAAACTTGAAATCTGCTCAGCAAAACCCATCTAAGGAAGTCACTCTAAATGCCATAATTCTTTTGAGTCTACTCCAGTAAAAATAAGTGACCTTATGACTGGATAGTATTACCTGACAGGGTCTTATGTTAATATAATTGCTAACAACATTGAGAAATATACCAGTATATCATTTGTAATTGATTGAATGGTTGCTGTATTTCTGTCAGATGTGGGATCTAGGCTGTGGGTCATGAAGGTAAAGACTCTTGTACTTGTTAGAAAATCAGATTTAAAATAAAATCACTATGATCTCTATGAGAACTTTCCTCTTCTTAGGGACTCTGTTTTACAGAGGTGGCGCCTGCTAGCATGCCTGAGTCAGTGGACAGCATCTGGTAATGGATGTCCAAGGTCAGCGGTTCTCAGACCTCACTGTATGGAAATGCCTTATAAGTGTGGAAAATTGGATCACGGGGTGCAGCCTTCACAACCTCTTAACTCAGCACTGCTGGGTCAGGCCCAAGACTATGAGTTTCTGACACTCTCAGGTGCTTCAGGTACGCTGGCTGGGGAACACACTTTGCAAACCATTGCTTTTGGTCTTTAGGATTTCATTATCTTGCAGAACTCTGGCTGAGAACTAAAGGAGCCAATATTTATTTATTGAATAAATGAGCATGATAGAAACAGGAATGCTACTGAGGTGTGCTTTCAAAAAAATAAAGGTGACCACTCTACCGTGTAAGTATAGCTCATAAAAAACCCTAAATTTCTAGAGACCTTTAAATTGATAACCATGAATCTTCCCACAGGCATCCCACTAACATAAGAGTGACTAGCACAGTGCGTGGAAAGAACACACTGAGGTGAAAGTTATTCTCATGGTAAGGAAATTATTTTTAAAGGCTTTCTTAAAACAATTCCCCTGACATGGTTAAACATTATTTTGCAGGTCATTGTCTAGTGATACTATAAACTTTCAGAACCAGAAATCACACACCTGTACACATCTGCTATTTTGAGTCACAAATACACTACAAATTAGCACTGCCATGCGATTACTTTCCTTTTAGTTAATAAGCATAGTAGGACAGGAGTCCAGGTCTATCTACAGGGACATTTTGTACATTGCTTTTTCAGTGCTGGGAGCAAAGCCAGGGCCTCACACATGCGAGGTGGGTGTTGTACCACCGAGCTGCATCCCAGCCCCTTACATTTCTTATGTACACATCAAGGACACTGCCTAAAAGCAAACATTTCTAGAGATAAGTAAGTATCAGCACACATGGTTCCTTCACCAATTGAGTGATAGAGTGTAAGATCAGCAGGTGAACTGCTGTATTATCCACAGCCTCCATGTTAGCAAAAACCGATGCAGAATGGGAAGAAATACGATTACATACTCACACAGAAATTCATCTGACTTATTCTGTAAAATATACCACCCTTCGTCAGCCACCGCCACGACCGGCTGGATCCGCTTGTTGTATTTGTAATGCCACCTCTCTGGAATCTCCTCTTTTTTGTAAACAGTAAGGTTAGGATGAGCATCAGCCAGTGCTTCATAGACTTCATCAAGTTTACCTAAAGGAGAGGTAGGGAGGTGTTTGGAACAAGACCCTCATTGCCCCACCCAGCAGACAGCAGCCTTGGGTTCCCTGGGGGGAGGGGAGCCAGACCCAGGAGGACTTTGCACCTGGGAGAGGTATCTTACAGGGAAACTGAAATAATCACTTCCATCCTAAGTAAAGGCATCTGGCAGAATGGAGAGGGCTGTTTGTAGAACCAGAATGCCCTGGTCTCTAAAACCTTCAATATGCACATGCACACATGCACACAAAGCATTGGTGACACTAAGTGACATGTCTAGGGGATTGCAACACTCAGTAGTAAAGGAAAAGCTAGGTTCGGATTGTTGTGTCTGGAGGGCAGGGACAGATGAGAGGTCATGGGCCGAGGAGGTGGCTGAGAACCAGCTGGGGCCCATACCTGTGATACTGAAGCCTCTGGGTCTACATGCACCACCCTGGACACAGGCTTTGGTCCTTGTTTTTCAGCTGCATCCTTGGGGCTCTGTCCTGCTCCCACTTCCCAGGAAGGAAACTCCACTATCATATGTAAGGGCAGCTTATGGGTTAAGGCAACTCTTACATACTTGTGAGCTGTTGAAACCTGAGTCCATGTACACCCTCCTACTCTAACATCCATGGCTTCTTTTTTTTTTTTTTTTTTTTTTTTGTCGTTTTCCTTTTTATCTGTACCGGGGATCGAACTCACGACCACCTGCTTGCATGGCAAGCGCTTATGCCGCTGAGCTAAATCCCCAGCCCCACATCCATGGCTTCTTAAGATTCTCTTCCTGCTTCGCGGTGGCACAGAATTGTCATTTGTGAGATATTCCAGCTTTTCAAAATTTGTTTTCTCTTTTTATGCCTAAGAGTGGCCCTACAAAGGGGCTGGGCCTGAGTCATGTTCTACCCCCAATTTTGTGACCTTGGGGTGTTAAACTTTTACCTGTCTTTAAAACAAAGCTACTACTGGGGTTATTACTATCTCTCCTTATAAAAAAGGAAAATTCAGATTGACAAAAGCTCTTTCTTTACTCTACTGCTTTCCTATGAAACAGGTCCTCATCAAGGGTCTGCAGAAGACTTGTGGGGCTTCATGACGTCACCGGAATTGTACCCACACTTTGTATGTATCCTTTCATCTCATTTTTTCTGAGAAAGGGAGGTGATCCCAAAAGTTAACAGCTACTGCCATAAACTATAGATGGCATAAATGGTAATATTCTAGGAAAAAAATCCCAGATCTTGAGATTTTGCTTTTTGGAGCCTCAGGATGGGTCTGAGAGCACTACCATGACACAGGCAGGTGTACTTCAGTGACACAGATGCAGAGAGTCCCTGTTCACTCACACAGATGGATCTAGATGGGGCCAGATGGATCTAAGATCAGCTCTGGGCCTCGTTGCACTCACCTTCTTTTGGCAAAATGGCAGCTACTGGAGATTGGTCAATCAGGGTGTAATGATCTCTATCCAGATACTGGTCAAGCTCTATCACCCTTTCCTTAGAACACTGGGTCATTCCATGGTCACTTGTGACAATGAGGTTCACCACGTCCCACAGCTTTGCTTCCTTCAGCCTTTGTATGAGATAGCCTAGCTTGCGGTCAATATCTGAAATGACAGGCCCCATGAGCGGATTATCAGGTCCCAACTGGTGGCCCATGTCATCAGGGTCTTCCCAGTAGAGAAGACCAAGATTTATGGGCTCTTCTGATGTGAACCATTCTATGATTTTGGCAACTCTTTCTTCAAAGGAAACGGACTCATTGTAAGGCATGTAGTGAGTTGGAAAACTCTTATGAATCTTTACGTCAGCCCCAGGCCACATGGCTGAGCCAGTGGCATGTCCTGCCTTCTGATTTGTGATCCATATAGGTATGGCCTCTTCCCAAAACTCAGAATCATAAATATTCATGTGGTCCAAGGAGAAAGATTTGTTCAGAACAGGATCAAACATGTCATTTGCAACAATCCCATGATTCTCGGCAAAGAGGCCAGTGACCAGGGTATAGTGGTTGGGGTAGGTCTTTGTGATAAAAATGTTTGTGACTTGCTTCACATGAACACCATGTGTCAGGAGATCATGAAAATGGGGTGTTGGAACTTTATATAAGTAATCCCAGCGGAATCCATCAAATGAAACTAGTAGAACCTTTTGCTGGTCTGATTGGAGAGAGAACGTCGTTGAAAGAGTTAGTATCACAATCGTGAAAGACACGGAGAGAGGCTTGGAAGTCATTTTTCAAAGTGCTGGATCAGCTCAGTGTAAAACAATCTGTAGAATAAACATAAAGAGGTCAATGGCAATGATTTTATTTTGTGTACTTCACCCCAAAACGAAAGTGATAGCGCTGTTCTTCCCAATCACGTCCTCCCTGTCAGTCTGGAAGAACAACATTACATCAGGACTCTGTCAAACAACAGACCCGCGCCTGCGTGAATAAGAAAAGTAAGTTTAGTTGCATTTAAATCATTTTTGACTTTCTAAAAAGTCATCAAGATATTTTCAGTTTTATTTCAGTGAGCTCCCCAAAGCATTTAAAAATGTGATATAGTTTACATACAAGGGTTCAGGGTACATATAGCGTTTCAGGTTTACAAATAATGTTTCAACTTTTGACCAGAATCTTTTATAGTGTCACCTAGCTGTGAACCTACTCCTCAGCAGGGCTAGACTGTAGGAAGGTGACAACAAGAAAGTATCATTAGTGAATCCAATAATAGTCCTCAAAACACACACATGCATACTTTGCTTTTCAAAGTCAATGTGTATGTTTGGTTCTTCATGGTAAGAGATACTACAAAAAAGAGGAAAACAGGAAGCTGGAAAAATAACGTGTGTGACTTACAAGTATGGTTGGGAAACATAATCTGTCTTCATTTTTTAGTAATGAAACCACAGACTTCTGTAACTAAACAGAAACGATTCTGAAATGGATGTCAGAGTTCCTAACGTTACAGTTAGTCAGCAGTTCATGTTATCAGTAGTATGTGCAGAAAAACAAGTTCCCAGGATGAAATTTCTTGGGATGTAAGTTGTTACTTTTAACCTGCAAGTTTAATAGAAAGCTTATATTCTATTCCAGAAGCTGTAGGGATAAACATCACATGCCAGCTCCCACCTGGCTGCATTTCAAGTCTTTTCCTATCGAGGAAGATTTTTTTAAGCACGCTAAAATTCAGATGTTTTGAATTCTGCTTTTGGCACTGTTCTAACTTGACACAATGAAACTTTCAGATTTATTTGTGATGCTGGGTATCTGGATATGAACAAACAGCCTGGTGTTCCGGGCAAGTCCTCTACCACTGAGCTGCACCTCCAGTCTCAGGCATACAGTTTTAACCCTCAGACACCGACCCTGTCTCGCCCTGCTATGTCACAGAAATCGTCAGACCAGCTTGCCACGCTGGTGTACAAAGTGTGTGTGTAAACCAGCTCAGGACAATATTTCTCTTTCCTCTTCAAACCAATTTCCCCATAACTAGATAGCGAGTAAGCTGAAATTGTTTTACATGTCTCAGGACAATGCCTGAAAAATTAAAATTAAAAACTCTTCAGTGGCAATACATTTCTTTCCGATTCAGGAAGCAACATCAGAAATAGCTGCAATCTAGAATTATAATAGGGTACTGCAAATCTACCTGCTTACATGTCTGGCGACCCGTGATGGTTCCTTCTCCCTCTGCCTTCTCCCCTAGTTTCCTCTCCAGCCTCCTAAGGAAAGGGAAGGTGGCAGCACCCACATAACTTGGGGCTAAAACAGTAACTAGGTGAACACCTGATTTCTGCCAATTCATCCCGTAATGATGGTAAACAGGAGGCAACTGGGCAAAATAAAGCCGGCGAGGAACTGGGGCTGCTGGAGGCCTGGGGACAGGAGGTAGGGGCAGGCTCGGAGGCAGCGGATTCCTTGCCTCTTCTCCAACAGGGACGCCTCTGAGGCCAGGCCTGGGCCTGCTGCTGAGCCGGACCCGGCGTGCCCCCCTGCGGGTAAGCGGCTCTTGGAGAGGGCCGGGTGCATACATTGGTTGGGAAAAGGGTTGCTGAACTGCCTCTCCTCGGGCTGGGCTCCTTCCCGTAGGGCCGCGGCGTCAGGTACGATCCTGGCTTCCACTCGCCCAGGCACCGGAGGTGGGTTGAGGGATCACTGATTTCAGGGCGCCTTCTCCCTTACCTGTCTCCGCGGGTAGCAGTCTCAGCGAGGACGACCCGCCGCGTCGCCGTCTGTCTCAGGGACGCTGCACCTGCGCAGCCTCGCGGGCACCTGACCGCGTCCCCCGCGCGCTCTCCCATTGGCTGAGCGCAATGGTCACCCCCGGAGTCGCTGCCGCCTGTCGTCAGCGCAGGGCGGGCCTGGAGGAAGACAAGGTCTTGGAATGGGGCACTCGAGCGCGAGGACTTGGTCCCAGGAGATGGGGGGCCCTGAAGCTGGGTGGGGGTCCCCGCTTCTGCAGGGTTTGCCCTCCAGTTGGATGGGGTGTCCCATACCGCCGTTTTTGAGCACTGATGGCCTCCTTGTCGCACACTGGTGGCAACATACCATCAGCTTCACTCCGGGGACGCACAGGCGCCCCCTTCATTCTTTTCTTACAGGTGTCGCCTGCTTTTCCTTAAACAGGCTTTGCTAATCTGGTCAGCTCTGCAATCCAGGGCTGGCTGACCTGCTGTCTGCAGTTTGGATCCATGAGGCGGACAGTGTCCTCTGCCAGCGGAGCCAGGTTTGCGCAGAGGGAGGCAGAGACAGGCTGCTGTCCGGCAGTGATTGTGGACTCTTCCTCCAGCCTGAATTTACTGTACCGCCCTTGAAATGAAGGACGCGTGCTCAGGCCTGGCTCTGCTTTCAGGAAATCTTCTCTGCTTCTGGTTTTCTAGGGACGCGATTTCTTCTTCTCCTGGCCTGGAGTGAATTTATTGTTCTAATTTCTTTGTGTTCAGTATTATTATTATTTTTTTTAGGCCTGTGGGGATGTGGGTGGGTGCACAATTGCTAGCCTGAGCCCACCTGTATTTACCACAAGCAGGAACAGTGACCTCATCTCTCCAGTTCCCAGTCAGCATTCTAGCCTAGCGGGACAGAACCCATCTATAATGGGGTTGATGATGCTTGCTTGGTGACAGTTTAAGTCTCAATATCTGGTTAACTGGAGGAAGCAGGAACAGGTCTGGCAGTGGCTATCTGGTGTGCTGGGCTGTAAAGCACACAGGTTGTTAATTAAACAGGGCAAACATAATTAAGTGGAGGAGGGTCAGAGCCTTTTCTTTCTCAGCCTCCAGGGGAGGGACAGGCCAAACTCCATCCATCGCTATCTGCTCATTGGGTCGTATTGTCCCAAAGAGCTTTTGGGCTTTCTGCCATGGCCTTTGCTTTGTACAGTTTGGATCTGTGGTTTCCAGCATGTGTGGCGGAGGTTGAGAGAGGCTGGTTTCTGTGTTTGGGCAGACCCAAAGACAGTGAAGTGGTACAAATTGTTCTAAGCTCCCAAAGTCCTGTCCTTTGAAATGGCTCCAACTCAGAACGAGGTGGTCCAGTCTCGTAAGTGCTTATCTCTCCCAATTAGTCCAACGCTGTGTTCTCTCAAAACACTCCCAGAACAACTTAGGCTTAGCAGAATGAGACAAACCTATCTTTCACATGGGTCACTGACTATTACAGAACTACAAGGGGACACAGGGTCTGGCTATGTAAGCTGTTAAGATTGTGTCTACTACCATCCCTGAGACCTGCGTCTCAACGTGCAGATGTTAAAGTGGTCGCAGAGCAAAAATTGCTCTCAAGGGCTGAGCTAGCGTCAGCTGCCTCCTAGATTGCAGCTTTGTAACAATGCCTGAAAAAAAAAAAAAAGAAATACAATGCCTGCCACTTCTAGGGGAAATCTGGTTTAATAGCGGTTTAATCTGGTCAAACCTGGTTCAATCTGGTCAAATGTCTGCTGCAATGGAAGACATCTGTGCCTGGCTGGCTGCACAAGCTACAAAATGTTACTGGCTGTGACTGGGATTTTAGTTTATATATTGTTGAATTAGTATAATAACAGCTGAGCTAGTAATCTGTATCTGAATGATGGGGTATCAGCAGTATCAACTTTTTTCCCTTGGGTTTTGGGGCAGGGTGAGGTAGGGTGGGGCAGTCCTTCTGCCTTTTGAAGACCCCCAAGGAAGTCTAATCTGAAGGCTGAGTTATTGTTGGCCCACTCTATTGGCCCAAGGGGGAATTTTGTGGGTGAGGTTTCAAGGTTAAAGAATACACGTATGCAGAACATCAGCAACAACAACAGGTAGCAAGGAACACAGAGCCAGAGAAGCGTCCGCATCTTTAGTGAAAAAGTTTTATACAGGTCACTATCTCATGTATACATTCTTACATAGTACTACTCTAACTAGTGCATGCATGTTTACCTGTGCTAAGTTACAGTTGTATAACTGCATCCCACTGTGTGCCTGTGTTAGACAAGTGTGGTCACGTCCTCAGGTGCTCTTGGATGCTCCTGAGCTTTGAAGCAGTTTGAGTGGTTCCCTACAGTTATCTTCTTCTTTGGGGTAGATGAAATTTTGGGGGGGGCTAAATGTGGGATAAGATCTGTTCTTTATGAAATAGCCAGTAGTACCAAATTCTTGTTTTTAGTACTAGACCCATGAGAGGGAACGTGCATTACTTCATAATTTTAAAAACCTTTAAGGTTGCATTTAGTATACTCTACCACAAATAACCAAACTAAAAGAAAGTCCATCTCTAAGTGTTTATAAGACATTCTGAAAACTGGGTCCCATGCACTCAGTGGCCCCAGGTGGGACCCATTGGGAGTTGGGTCCTGAGCTGACCTTGCTCATTGTAAACAGCAGATCTTCACTTGTTGGGACTCAGCAGAGACTCAAAACAACGAGTAAAATGTGAGTTACAGATAATTCACAGCCTTGGGCCAAGAATTCTTAGCCATACTAGTAAACTCCTAATGATCTATTTGTACTTGATTTTAAATAAAATCTTATTTAAGGAAAATCAGGCCACATCAATAAAAGAAAAATAAAGGAAAATTCAGGGCCCCATCACATCCTGGGTGCCAGAAGTGCCCAGAGCCGTAAGGAAGGAGCACAATCTCTTCTTAACTCGGGGGTTTCGGGGGGCTTCTTCACTTCTGGCAGCAAAGTTCTTTCCTCCATTGTTACATGGGATCCCACTCTGCCTGTGTGTTTGTTTTTACTTGGCCTTATTGAAAAATGCCAACCTTTAGAACAAGGCTTGCTTTAATTCACTTTAACCAAATTACAGATGTAAGAAGCCTGGTTCCAAGGTTCCAGGTGAGAGTGAATTTTGAAAAGCTTATTCATCCACATGTGCACAACTAGTAGGAGCTTCAATTCTATGGCCCGGAATCAAGAGTTCATAAATGATTAAAATAGTTCAAATCAAGGAAACTGAGTACATCTAGTGCTGATAAAGGTTCAGAGCTATCAGAGCCATTACATACTGCTAGTGGGAATGGTGTAGCCACTATGGAAAACAGTTTAGAAGGGTGTTCTAAAGGTAAATGTATCCTCTTCCTACAACCCAGGAATCCAAATGTCAGCTGAAAAACTTAAGAGCAAATTTTTATAATAGCTTTATTGCTAGTCACCAAAAGGTACAAACAGGCCACATGTCCCTCAATTAGTGAACTGATAAATAAGTTGTGGTATATCTGGAAATGGAGTACTATGGAGCCACAAAAAGGAAGCATTGAAATCTAACAATGTGGATGAAAATGAGAAGGATTTTGCTGAATGAAAGAAGCCAGTTGCATAACTTCCTATATGACATTGCATTTATATGACTTCCTAGAAAATACAAAAGGATAGGAACAGAAGTCAGATTGGTGGCTGTCAGGAGCTGGAGTTTGGGAAAGGGGCTGGCTCTGAAGGTACACAGGGAATTTACCTGGCTTGTAATAGTGGGTAAGTGGCTAACAGTATCAGATATGTTAAACTACAATGCAAGTGTCTCTTGTATGGCAATTAAACCTCAAAAAATAACAGCTGCAAAAAATAAAAACCTACTTTACATTCATTCCAAGCCACCAGAGTTTATGAGTCAGACCTGGCAGTGTTGGGTCTGGGAGGCTGCATTTGGTGTCTCCGTGCAGGACATGGGATCCTACAGTGCAGGGGCTCAGCTATGCTGATTTCTGGGTTCACCCTTGTGAAGTGACTCTGGAAATGACAAGCAAAAGCCCACTCTGATGGCAGGCTGGAACTGCTCGTCATTTTGCTGAGTAATCGCATCAGTCCAAGATGTAGCAGCGCACACAGAAGCGATGTGACCTTAGGGTGTGGCATGAAGCCAGTTCTGTAAGACATCTTCTTAGAAGAAGCCAGACAGGAAACCGGGGTAAAAACACCAAGTCACAACAGAATTCTCTGTTCATGGTATAGCACATCCCACCCCTTAGATGCCCGAGTTTGGTGAATTTCACTTTTATTTTGGAAGTTTTGGTTCCTTGTGGATATTGTTATTCTGCAGATTTACTGTCAGAGTAGTGTGTGGGCAAATATTGTCCTGTTCCCAGATGGAAAATCATTTTTGCTCTGGGCATTTGCATTTGAGGCGTAAATATCCTTTGCAAGCTTAAGCGTGCACTGAGTTCTTAGATTAGTGTTGAACTCAATGAATGTGAAAAGTAGGCTGTGACTGCTTTCTACTGCCCAGGTGGCTTTCTGAATAGGGAGAGGGCAGAGGTGTCATGCAAAAAGGTCCCTGTCCTTCCTTATGGCTGCAGTTTCATAATTTGAAATTAATCTCTCACCTGGAAAGCTTTTTCTCAGAAGTGATGCTAGCCCACTTCTGTTAGTTATTTACACACATGCACATGCTTAAGTCTGTCTGACGCACACTGGTTAGCACAATTCATTGGGGAGAATGCGGGGAGGAATGCAGATGGGCATGATCTTTTTTTGTGTGTATGTGGTACTAGGGATGGAACTCAGAGCCTTCACACTAGGCTGCATTCCCTGGCCACTTTTTATTTTGAAACATACTTGCTAAATGGCTAAGTTGCCCAGGCTGGGCTTGGACTTGGAAATCTTCCTGTCTCAAATTCCCAGAGCACGGGGTTTACAGATGTTGTGTGCCAGGGTGCCCAGCTCCCAGGCATTGTGCTTTGAGCATTTGTAAAGAGAGGGAGCAACTTTAGAGAAAACCGAAAACAGGCAAAGCTAGCACAGAGGTGAACCAGGGTGGTTCCATGTGCTCAAGCTGGTTCTTTTCTTCCCCAGTGGCACATGGCTCATGGGCTGTTCCAGCTCAGCCCTTGCTAACGCTTTGAATACCCTTTGTGTTCTACAAATGCATATGAGGTA